CCGAACAGAAGGATTATCATCAGCACCTTAGCTTTTGGCAAATGGTAAATCTTTAATTTTTCTAGCTCGTGAGCTTACCTTTCTCGCTTGTGAGTTTGATCGAATCAAGTAGTCGGGTGCTCAGATATTGATAAACTAGCAACTTTTGGTTCTAATTTGTGTGATTGGAAATATATCTTTGTGTGTATTAGTGATAATGTTTATTTAATGACAGTTATTTGTTTTACTATCATTGTCACAAGTATTAGCCATTTATGATTGATTTGGTTAGAATTATTATTTTTTAGTTTATAACTCTCCTAAATCATAATAGTATTAGATCTATTTTCTGACGTTGACATGCCAACATGCTTAATTTTCCTGGCTAATGAGTATGATCTAGATATATATTTCAACCATCATTGACTACTAATCATTAGCAACTACATCAAGCTTAAAAAAAAATAAAAATAAAAAAGAGAGAAAAAAACATAGGGATGGGACAACCAATAATAGTTGAATAAATAATGATGATTCAACTAATTGATCCAATTTGATAAGGGTTATTTAATGATTCCAATCTGATAAGATTGTTATATTTAATGTTAGGTGGAGCATAATCATACATAATTTGATCACCAAAAAAAAAAGGTTGGAAGAAAAACATATACAATGTCTTAGCATGTTAGTTGTTGACTCCATTACTGATTAAAGGATTTTATATCTTAGGGATAGACCTTAAAATTGTTGGATAAGTATAAAGATATCATTTTATTTAACCAAGAATATAGTAATATGCTACAAAGATGAGGGCTACACAAATAAGTACTATTATTAGTGCTCTAGTTACTTTCTTCTTTCAATTGCAAGAGTTCAAACACAAATTTTCTCCATTATAATTAAGAACTTCTCTTGCTACAATAAAAAATGATAGCATTTCTTTCTTTCAAAAATTGTTGGACTCATCTTTCATTCATTTAGTACAAAAAATGTTATGCTTTCTTCAATTCCTCTCTCTTAGTTTATCTCTATTCCTTTTGTTCGTTATTTTGATGGATGTTTCAATATAATGTCATGTAACCATCTCTTTATATAATACGTAAGCAAGGTAGGTAGAAAGCTTGAGTTCATTAAAGCTCCGATATGATAGGCAATATTTTTAAAATTTAATTGTGAATCAAATTATGTAGTCATTATTATCTTTAAAAATTATATACATGTATGTGCATGTATGCATGTACATTTGTATTTGTATAATCTTTTTTTAACGTTATGTAATTAGTTGAGATGTTTTTAATGCACTTGATAATTTCATTAATTCTATAAAATCATTATTCATAACCAACCCTTTTCTCATACCTAATTTTACTACAAAGTTAAATTTATGCAAGAATTTGTTGAACCAAAATATTGCGTGCCTGAAAATCCGTGGTGATAAAGTAGTATATTAATAACTTAATGTTGTACGAAAATCTAGCAACATACACGGATAAAAGAAAAATAGTAGGACGAGACACTGTAATTTTTACGTGAAAAATCCTGAAAGGAAAAATTTAGGGGTTCAACCCGGTCAAAGTAGTCCACTATGCAATTGTAAGTACGTATGTATACTCTTTTCCTTATTAGAGAAGATCGAATTACAAAGTTGATAATCGTATATGCACAATAATAGTATAGCTATAATAGTCATGCGCTACAACAAATGGGGTCATTGGAGATCGGTGGTAAGCGGATGTAGGTGGTGATGACTGGCAGTGGTCGCTGGTGGTTGACAGGTAGTTGTCGAAGATAGTCGGTAGCTACGGAGCATGTTGGTTATTCACCAGATCTTCAATATAAGCGTTAAACAGTATAGTCGTATTTGAAATACAATAGTAGCAAATAGGGGTCATCGGATGCTGGCAGTCTACAATAGTAGGTGATTATGACCAACGATGGTCCACGATGGCGCCCGACAAGTAGTGGTTGACAGTGGCTAGCAACTACTAAGATAAGTGATTATTCATCAGGTCTTCAATATTGTGTTAGACACAACAACCGTATTTAGAATACAATGATTGCAAATAGGGTCATCGTCGGTCTCTAGTCAGCGACAACAAGCAGTGATGACCGGTCGTGTTCGATGGTGCTCGACAGGCGGTGTTCAATGGTGGTCGGTGGCTATGGTGACTGACGGTTATCTTGTCGTCTTCTCTCCATAAAAAAAAAACTCTAAAATTTCTCTCTTTTTTCATGTCTTCCTCTTCCCAAATGAAGAGCTTTTTAGGGAGGAGCATTTTAACTCCTGACGCATAAATTCCCTAACCACCCAATCAGACAGTCAATGTCGATCCCTCTTGATAATAGATTGTATTTTAAAGATTTGACTGTCTTAATGATCTCATAATTTCTCAATTTTAGTCTCATTGGATTCCTCTCATAGAGACAACCGATTTGAGTATAATTATGTGAAATTCAAATTTCATTTGATCATTAAATTGATGATCCAGAGCCTCTAGTTGGGCTTCAATGGTTTGATCTGAGCATGATCAGACCCAAATTGAACCAATTTTGACATTATTGGGTTTGTCATGTTTAGATGGTTAGTTTGACTATAAGTTTGTTGGGCCAATCTTGATTTTAAATTTGAAAGATGCTTCTTAAAAAATGCATTGAGAAGGATGCTTGATAAAAATTTGTTGATAACACAACACACAAATTTAAATAAAACTGTATTTGGCCAATCAGCTTAATAAGAAATAAAATTGAGCCATTTCCTCTTTACATTATCTTTGCCACATCCTAAAATCACAAAAATTCTCTCCCTCAAATCAACTTTTCCATAGCTCAATGTGAGAACTACAAAAATAATAAAGGGACATTTACATTCATACCATCCATTTCCTATATATTTATATATCTAACACTAAACTTTACTTTTTTATATTTATACTGCCCCAATCACTTATACCACATAACTACTTTTAAAAGGTGAAATAAAGATAGTTGGTAACTACGGAGCATGTTGGTTATTCACCGAATCTTCGATATAAGCGTTAAACATTATAGCCGTATTTGAAATACAATAGTAGCAAATAGGGGTTATCGAATGTTGGTTGTCTAGGGTAGTAGGTGATTACTACCAACAATGGTCCACGATGGCGGCCGACAAGTAGTGGTTGACAGTGGCCAGCAACTACGGAGATAAGTGATTATTCATCAGGTCTTCAATACCGTGTTAGACACAATAACCGTATTTGGAAAATAATGATTGCAAATAGGGTCATCGTCGATCTCTAGTCAGCGCAACAAGCGGTGATGACCAGCCGTGTTTGATGGTACTCGACAGGCGGTGTTCAATGGTAGTCAGCGGCTATGGTAACTGACGGTTATCTTATCGTCTTCTCTCCATTAAAAAAAAAAAAAAACTCTAAAATTCCTCTCTTTTTTCATGTCTTCCTCTTCCCAAATGAAGAGCTTTTTTGGGAGGAGCATTTTTAACTCCTGACGCATAAATTCCCTAACCACCCAATGAGACAGTCAATGTCGATCCCTCTTGATAATAGATTGTATTTTAACGATTTGACTGTCTTAATGATCTCATAATTTCTCAATTTTAGTCTCATTGGATTCCTCTCATAGAGACAACCGATTTGAGTATAATTATGTGAAATTCAAATTTCATTTGATCATTAAATTGATGATCCAGAGCCTCTAGTTGGGCTTCAATGGTTTGATCTGAGCATGACGGACCCAAATTGAACCAATTTTGACATTATTGGGTTTGTCATGTTTAGATGGTTAGTTTGACTATAAGTTTGTTGGGCCAATCTTGATTTTAAATTTGAAAGATGCTTCTTAAAAAATGCATTGAGAAGGATGCTTGATAAAAATTTGTTGATAACACAACACACAAATTTAAATAAAACTGTATTTGGCCAATCAGCTTAATAAGAAATAAAATTGAGCCATTTCCTCTTTACATTATCTTTGCCACATCCTAAAATCACAAAAATTCTCTCCCTCAAATCAACTTTTCCATAGCTCAATGTGAGAACTACAAAAATAATAAAGGGACATTTACATTCATACCATCCATTTCCTATATATTTATATATCTAACACTAAACTTTACTTTTTTATATTTATACTGCCCCAATCACTTATACCACATAACTACTTTTAAAAGGTGAAATATGCCTTTTAAGCATAGAAAAGTTAGCGTATATGTAAGAAATTAATGTCTTGTTGTAAGGCATGTAAATACATAGGAATTAAATGATATGTGTGTAAATCTTCCTTTAATAATAATAGTAATAAAAGTCTCACAATATGGATGAGAAACTCCAATTTAATACCCTGAATCTATCTTCTCTATCCGCAGTGTTTGGATTCTTAGAAGAGTTTAATAAATAAAAGGCCAAATAGTTTTTATAAAGCTTTAATTGCTAACAAATTTTGCAATTTATTTTTTCAGCGTTGAAATTCATAGAAATTAAATAATATTTGGCTGAAGGACAAGTTGATGAAAATTATAAATATATTAAGCTATAAATAAAAGATAATTATATAATAAGTAAAAACAATAACAAATTATGTAGTACTTTGGAAAGACCTATAAAATGATGATTAAATACATTAGTTCATGCTCCTTCTATTGAATTGCCGCATATCAATAGATATATATATATATATATATATATATATATATATGCAATACCTCAAAATCATATATAACTTTAGTCTTATTTCATGGACATTCATAACATTCCCATAACAAAATTGGAAAATTAAGAAAAACCGAATTACTTGTTGTTTAGTCGCATCATTTAAATAAGATTTAGTCATGAATTTAACGTAAATCTAGCCCAATATCAAAAATCAATAATTAAATGCAGTCCTCAGTTAAATCAAAATTTTTACTGTTCCGTGTTTTTTTCCCGCATTCTGTCTATTTTAGGATGTAAATCTGGATTCAGTAAACCTGATTGTGAGACAGATTTAAAAATTTCTTCTTTCGTTCCTCTCATGTTAATCTTGCTCATACTGACTGTCGGATATAATGAATTTGATAAATCCTATTTAATGTGAAAACACCGCCTTGATGTTATGCCACAATTACAAGTTCCCACTTCACTTATTTCATACTCTAACTTGCTCTAATATTCCCCATAAGCAGTTGGAAACCACCAACTCATAAATGCGATTACTTGCTCCTCATCCATTCCATCCCATACAGTTAAATCAACCACATTATATGACTATTTATATCCAACACACTGAACAATTTCATTAAAATTAGAAGAAAATGATTCCATTATTCTCTGCTTCTCTTTTAATCTTATTAGCTCCAGTTTATGAGGCCAATAAGCAGGCGGACAACCTCAGAAGCTTCATCAAAACAAGGAGCTCGTCGCCGACAGTTTTCGACGTGTGGCCAGAGTTCGCCGGTGGCATCTCGACGCCGATTTTCGTCGGGGGGCAGGAGGGGAAGATGGAGGCTGACAGAATTGGAAGGCTTCCCGGGCAGCCTGATGGAGTTGATTTTGATCATTATGCAGGGTATGTGAATGTTGATCCGAAGAAGGGAAGGGAACTGTTTTATTACTTTGTTGAATCGGATCAAGATTGGGATAAAAAACCACTTCTTTTGTGGTTAAATGGAGGTGAGTTGAGTTTTTTTTTTCTTTTTTTTTAATTATCTTTTATAATACTGTTCTAATTTGAATTAACATTAGATGTCATCATGTTTTCGTTTTTAAGAATTTGAATTTTAGGAGCTGTTTGGGATCATTTTTATTTTTATTTTTATTTTTATTTTATTTATATTTAAGTTAAATTTAAAATATATTTAAAAATAAATTAATTTATTTTTGAAACAAAAAATGAAATACACGAAATTTATGTTAAAACAAATATATTGTTAAGAAAAAAAAAATACTAAAACTCTATTTTATGAGAAAAAAGGGAAAAAAAAAGGCGGGCCAAGCTAATAGAGATAACGTGGGCCCTGGGGGTTGCGAGGTACTAATTAGAACTGTTTTGTTGAATTGACTAAAATCACACATAAACTTGTATTTTTTGTTGGGCTAACTCTCTTTGATAGGTGCATGCAACTTTCTTAAATAATTTTTTTTTTTTTTTTGTCGCTCAGCTTCAAATATAATTTCTTTCGGTGTGGAAAAAAAATGTCGCTTATTTTTATCAATTTTAAATGAGTATTTTATTTTTAGAGGACTTGCAGGTGGTTAGAATCTCTATTGCTTGAGGAGGAAGTGAAGTGAGTTGAGTAGAAAAGTTTCCTTTTTCTTACTGCCATACGGGAATAGTGACAAGAAATATATAGAGCTAGTATAAAAGATCCCAGAGAAAATAGTTGTGAGGGTAAAGTTGGAATGAGGAATTTTGTATGTGATGATGAGCTTTGCTGGTGTCAGGAGGTGGAGTGTTGCTCCTTGCCGCACTTTTTATTAGATTGTTATGATCGCCCCTCAAACTGACATGTTTCGGTTGTTAAGTTCATTTTATCTTGAATAGTGACAAACTTCGGCGTTGGAAGTGATTTGGTAAAGATGTCGATCAGTTGTTCGGTGGTTAGTGTGCGAATATAAAGTTCTTGAGATTGAATTTTTTCCCGAATAAAATGGTAGTCAATTTCGATACATTTGGCTTGGGCAAGAAAAATTGGATTGCGTTTAAAAGCTAATGCGGAGGTGTTATCGTAGTGGATGAAAGTTGGCTGGGATATGGGAACTTGAAATTTCTGGAGAAGTTGTCGAAGCCAAATGACGATTGTGACTACGGTTAAAACTGCTCGATATTCAACTTTGATTTACGAGCGAGCAGCAGTGGGTTGTTTCTTGACCTTCTATGATATGAGATTATTGTCAAGAAAGAAGCAATGGTCGGTGATCGAACGTCGGTCGATAGGGTCACTAGTCTAACTGGAGTCGGAGTAGCTTTGAAAGAGGAGATGGATTGGAAAGGTAGAACGAAATGTATTGTAAATTTGATGTAGTGCAGTAGCCTTTTGAGTTGTTGGGAGTTGTAGCAACTTGGAGTCTGGAGTTGTTGCGACAAATTTTTTTACCGCAAAGGTGATGTATGGTCTTAAAATCGCGAGGTATTGGAAATATTCAACTAGTTGGCAATAGAGGTGGTAGTTGGCAGGTGAATGCTCGAGAGAGGACTTAGACGAGGGGGAGATGGGATTGGCGGCTGCCTTACAATTGGCCATACCAATAGTTTGGAGAAGTTCGGTGGCATATTGAGTTCTTTAGTTAAGAAAGAAACCTGATTTGGTGTTCTTGATGTTGATTCCAAGAAAGGTAGAGACGATGTCCTGAGATTTCATGTGAAAATGTTGTTGCAGATCATATATTTCATTTGAATTGTTGCCGGTTAGCAAGATATCGTCAACGTACAGGAGTAAATAAATGAAGGTAGAGTGGCATTGGTTGAGGAATAAGGAAAGGTCTACTTGAATGTGGTTGAAGCCAAAACTGATCAAGTGGCGAGTGAAAGTGTTGAACCATTGATGGGGACCTTGTTTAAGACCGTAGATGGCCTTTTGAGAAGACATACATGCCGAGGAGTGCAAGGGTCATGATACCCGAGTGCTTTGTCTCATGGAATTCCCCATGTAGGAAGGCGTTTGCAACGGCCGTTTGGAGGATTACCTTATTGTGATGCAGGGAGATTACTAAAAGAAGTCAAATAGCAGAGAGATTTGAAATATGTACTTAAAACAGTATATTATTTTTGTGTAGGAGATTTGAAACTGGTTTGAATGTTTCAGTATGGTGGATGCCATATTTTTTATGGTGTCCAAAAGAGATGAGTTGTGCTTTGTATGGGATGATGGTGCCGCTAGCAATTCATTTTATTTTATAGGTACAATTGTTGTCAATAATATTTTGGTTAGAAGGCAGTGGGACAAGGACCCATGTATTTTTGTTTTTTAAGGCGAAGAGTTTTTCTTGCATTGGGTTTCTCCAATGGGGATGTAGCATGGCTTCTTTGACGGTAGTAGGTTCGGTGATGGGAGAGTTGAGGTGAAGGAGATTGAATATGTGTTCGGGTTTAAGAGAACTTATTTTGGTTCTTGTGATCCTAGAGTGAGAGTGAGTTTGGGCTAGAGAAGTAGCGGGAGGTGGAGGTAGTAAGTAATCGATTGTAGATGATGCAATAGAGATTAGAATGGAGGGTATATGATTTGTTTGGGAAGATTGGCAGGGAAAGTTTGGATTAGTGATTGATAGATGTTTGGGAGAATAATGGTGGGGAGTGATAGGAGTGGTTGAATAATGGGAGATGTTGGTAATATATTGGTTAGATGAATTGGTAGTTTGTATGTGAAGGGAATTTCAAGGAAGCAGACATATCGTGATATAATTAGCCTGTCGATCTCAAGATGGAGACATTTTTAGTGTTTGGAATTATCGGGGTAACCAATGAGTATGCATTGGGACACTTTTGGGTTGAGGTTGATGTGATGCTGTGGTGGAATCTTGGGGAAGCATGCACAGTCGAAGGTATGGAGGAGAGATTAGGCTTGTGGGTGATTTTGTACTACTGATATGGTGATTAGTTGGATGTGTTGGGAGAGGGTGTGCAATTTTTTAGATAGGTTGCAGTGCGTATGGTGTCGGGTCAGCAAGAGTGTAGGAGATTGGAACCGATGAAGGGTGTTCCTGTGGTTTCAAATTTGTCGTAGAGTTTACGTTCAGCGGGCCCATTCTGTTTAAGGGCATAGGAGCATGAAAGTTGGTGTAGGATACCGATAGAGTTTATTAGGTTGTGAAATTGGGTGCTAGCATATTCCACTCTGCCTTCATAGTGGAAGTATTTTATTTGAGCATTAAACTACTTCTCCACCTGTTGTTTGAATTTTATAAAGTATTGAATTTTTTTAGATTGTGAATCATTTAATATAGCCAAGCATAATTAGTAACATCATCAACAAACAAAATATAGAATTTATATCCTTGAATAGAGGTAGTTGGGGAAGGTCCCCATACATCGAAATGGATAAATTTCAATAGCTTTTGTTGATGGTTGCTAGAAATAGAAAAATTAAGTTCATGGTGTTTAGCTAAAATACAAGAGGTACAACTTGGGGCTTTTTTTTGGAATACATAGAGTAGGGTATTATTTTGAAATAAGTAGAAGGGTGTTGTTGCGTTGGCATGGCATAGTCTTTGATCCTAGACTTCAGTGGTTGTGGAGGTGGGAATTATTTTATTGCTTGGAAGGAGGTGGTTTGATTGGGTAGAGTCCATTCTGACATGGTTCTTGGAGAATAAGTTGTTGAGTAGTTCGGTCCTTGATTTAGTAACCGAGGGAATAAAAAATAATAGTGCAATTATTCTCAAGAGCTAATTGATTCATGGAGATGTGAAGTGTATAAGAAATTGCATAGGAGTAGTTTACAAGTTGGGGTGGGCAGCAAGCCTTGTTCGTGATTTTTTATAGGTATGAAACTGTCATTACCAACGAACACTTGCTCCTACCCATGACTAGGTGCTGACAGGTTGTTGTAATATGCTGTGAGGTGGTTTTATGTGCCAGTATCTGATGTCGGATTTTATGTATGTGTTGTAAATATCTTTCAATACTACAATACACACACACAACAACACGAGTAGTAAATATGAAGATCAATGACAATAAAAATCACTTCATAATAAATAATATTAATTTTTAAAATTCTTTAAGCTGTCAATCCTAGTAATTACGTAAGTATACGTATCGCTCAAGTAATAAAGAGCTCTAATTGAGTCCTAAGTATCGATCCCACGGGGAGGCGAAAACTCTCATGGTTATAATGTAAAACAGAATATTCAAACTATAAAAACTTGAGTAAGAAAAACAAATCCAAAGTAAATTTAATGTATTTTAAATGAAATGTAGCTAAAAGAACTAAGTTAACTTAGCTAATTTTTAAACTTCAAAGTTAAATTTACTAAGACTAAACAAAGTTTTGTAGCAAAGAGTTCAAATAAAGAAAGCATCATTTCCATTTATAATGAGTTTATAGTTAGTGAAGTAATTAAAATCATTTAAAATTATATAAAATTGTGTTGTGTCAAATAGGAGCAATCATATTCTTTACCCTATGTCGAGTGCATAAAGAACATTGGTTAATTCAGAGTTTGGTCCCTAAATCTGTGGTTAGACTAAATCGATAATTAAATTAAGCATATAGTTTGAATCATCAAAATTTATGGAATTTAAAGCATCCCTCCAATGAGGACTAACAATCTCGCTTTAGTTTCCAAACAATTGGACCAAATTGGGGATTTTAGTCTATCAGCCTAAAATCTCCAATTTTACGCTCATCAAAATATATTTCTCTATTTATTTGCACTCAACTGGAATTGAATGTGACTCTTACCTTGTTATAGAAAGCGTAGCCCTGTCTGATCTTATGTTTCTCAACAAATTTTAACATTTCAATTAGCCATATTGAAAAGTAAATAAAAATCAGAGTTTGAGACATCATAATTTATTGACATTTAAAGTCTTGCAAAACAATATTAATTCTTCACAAGACCATATCTCATTGTAGGGAGTTTATTTTAGGGAGAAGTACAAAGAAGACTACTCAGAATTCATGAGGAGGATACGATAAAATATAGATTTTATATATATAAACAAGTTTACAAAATGAACAAAGGAATGAACAGAATAAAAATTATTAAATTTGATTCAAATGATGGAGAAAATCCCTTAAAGTTCCCTTGAAGCACTTTCTCTCATTACAATCAACACTGAGTTCTCTCTTAGAAGTGTAATAGAGAAGAAACCTCTCACCTTCCCACTCCTCTTTCAATTCTTTAAGAAAATTTTTCTCTCCTCTTGTCATTCACTCCAACTTTCTCTCAATCCTTTTCTTGTCCCATCTTTCTCTCTTGAAGTTTTTTTCTTTTATTTTAGGATGCCTCCTTTGAAAAAGAATTCAAAATTCCCTCCAAAAGTTCCCTTCAAAAGTCAACTCTTTTGAATTCAAAAGATGTGTCAATTGATCCAAGTGACATATCCCTTCATAAAAGAACCTTCCAAAGTGTCAAGATACATTGAATTACTTCAATAGGTGTGTAGAACAAGAGTCCCTTTGAAAATTCGCGCAAAATTCATCTTGAACCGCCTTAATTTGCTAAAAGTCATCTCTGGCGCATCATGCGCCAGTTCTCTGTCAAACGGCGTATCATGCACCTGTTTGTCACATCATGTGCCACTCTGTAGTAGCTCCACCATTTTTCTTCCTTGGACTCCGTTTCAGGCATTGTTGCTTTAAATACCTAAAAATAATATACATGCAACAAAAATATAAAAATACTCTTCTTTAAAGTGCAATATAAAAAAATAAGCACAAAATATATACTAAAAACATTATATTATTTTTTTGTATCATCGGTCAACATGGGCCATGTGGTTATCTGGTGGTTGCGTTGGTCAAATTTTCATTGGAAATATTAATATCTTTGATATAAGTAATGAGTATGGATCTTCCAAGCTGAGTGGAGTGAGGGTGGTTTTAATGACTATTTTAAATGTCTGACATGCTAGAGGAAGATTTTTAAGAGTGTCCTGGATGATCTCTTTGGTGTCGATGAATGATCCACATGTGGAGATGCTATCAACCAATACCTTAATTTGGTTGAGATATTGTGTCATGGTTTAGATTCTCAGGTACACATTATGTAATTCATTTTTAAGATGAATTATCCTGATTTGATTCGTGGCTTGAAGTTGTTTCTCTGACTGATGCCAGATCTCACGGCAAAATTCAAGATGGATTCCATAAGGTATTATAGTGATGGAGATGGTCGAGAGAATAGCGGTAGCTAGGTTTTGATCAATCAGCATCCACGCGTTTAGCAAAGAGTTGATAGTTTATGTCCCATGAGCATTTGGAGAGGGTTTTGGAATAGATCCTTTGATGAAACTGGCTTATCCATTTGTTGTTATGATCTTCACCACATGTGACCTCGATCCATAAATTGTAGTTATTGGAAGAAAGGGAGATAGTTATCACTGATTTTATGTTGAAGATAAAAAATTTCAAAGGAGGTAAGGTGTATTCTTCAACTTTAAGAGCAGTGAGAGCCTTGTTGAGTTCGGTAGTAGAAAAGTCCTTCATAGAGCTGTAAGCTTTAGCTCTGATACCAAGAAAGAAACCTGTGATAAATAGTTAGCAGAAAACATACTGTTGCGTGAAGAGGAAGTGAGGTAAGTTGAGAAGAAAGGTTTCCTTTTCTTACTACCATAAAGGAATAGTGACAAGAAATATATATAACTAGTACCGATGATTCTAGAGAAAATACAATTATGAGGGTAAAGATGGAAATAGGAAATTGGTAAGTGGTGATGAGCCCTGCTGCTGTTGGGAGGTGGGGTGTTGCTCCTTGCCGCACTTTTCCTTATGTTGTTATCAGCTATTCTAAAATGGAAAAATATATTCCACCAAAAAATATTGGAACTTTTAATATTCTCAAAACATAGATGTTACTGTCGCAGAACACATTTAGGGTCCTTTTGGGGCAGCTTATAAGTGCGGGCGGTGTTTTCAAAACGCCGTCGTACCGTTTGGTTCGTGTGTTTCACCAACTTATTTGAAACTGCGTTTGAGTTTTTACACTAAATGCAGGCCGCGGGTCGACCCCCGCGCCCGGGGTCGACCATGGAGGCCGGCCTGCGGGCCGCGTTTCAGAATAAGCAGTTTATCTTGAAACGCACAAGCTGCCCCAAACAATCCCTTAATAATCCCTTAATTTTATCAGATATGTATTAGTGTATTTCACACAAAATCTATGAAGCACGAAATAGTATTTTTTTTTTTTTTATGTTAATCTTAGTAAAAGCAAAATATTAGGAATTTGGTGAAATATTATTAGTTCATTAGGTAAATTAGTGACTTGTCCGGTCGCAAGTGGCAGCGAAATTCTTTTAACAAATTAAAATGATTTTGACAGGCTAGATTTATTATGTGCTTGATTTTGTGTTGTTGTTATTGAAAATGATAAGTTATTAATTGGTAGAAAAGAAAAAGACATAAAAATAAATAAATCCGCCATGGAAAATAGATTTTTTTCCTTCAAAATATAAATTAGAAAAACCTAATCTCAAATAAAATTAAATGATTTATTATTGCATTAATTTATTCTAATATCATCCAAGGGTGTAAATGAGTCGAGTCAAACTTGAGCCACCATTGACTTGAGCTTAAAAGCTTGATTAATTAATCACGTACAAGCTCGAGCCCGAGCTTAATTCTACGAGTTTAAGCAATAACTTTGTACTCTACCGTCGAGGACGCCAAGTTGAGGACGGTTTGATACTAGCACTTTGCTCTACTTGTGTGTGTGAGATAGAATTGAGTTTGAAAGAGTTGGCCAATGATAAAATTAAGATTTATCATGGAAAGGAATGAAATGATGTATTATAAATATAGAGAGAGAAAAATTTTATGTGTAGTTATAAGATGATTGATGAATATCATTTTTATGATATATTTATTAGAAAAAGATTTACAAAGGCTTATACTAAATTTAAGAGGGATGAGAACCACCATAAACCTCTCCTTGTTTTCCCCACCTGAGTTGATACAAACAACAACAACAACAACAACAACAACAACAAAGGCCACCATAAACCTCTCCAAACAACAACAACAACAACAACAAAGCATTAATCCTACTACGTGGTAATTGAAAAAAATAATAATTTCGAACCTTTTATCATGGAAAGCTTATTAATCAAATGTTGTGTGTGTGTGTGAAAATTAATAATTTCGAACCTTTTATCATGGAAAGCTTATTGGCTGTATTTGACAAACACATTTTATCATGTTATAAAGTTTACTATTGAAAATAATATTCTATAACTAAGGTGTCATATGCTGCATTTTAAATGATAAGAGTATTTTTATGATTAATATAGAAGTTTAATATTTGCAATGCCTCGTGAATAACAAAATTCACGATAAAACACAACCCATATTTTTTCATTTTTATCAACTTCTCAATAGTTTGATCATGACAGACGTAAATACATCACTTTGAAGATCAACTTATAAAAATCAATATTGTTTAAAGCAGTCTATATATACTTATCCCTTTATATTATCATTATGTTTAATATGTAAGTCGCTACAAATATTAATTAAATTTGCGTCGGATACATCAGACATAAATCAAATGCTAATCTGATGATATTTTTAGGTTATCATTGAATATGAGCAGATGTACATTTATTTTTTTTTCACGAGTAAATCAAGAATCGATAATACGATTGTAGTCTCTTTAGAATCGAAATAATTCGATGTAATTTATCTACGTCTTATTTATGTTGAACTAGTTTAATTTAAATAGTACTCTATTGTCATTCTGATGTGTTTATCAATGGGAAGGCCCGGGATGCTCTTCACTAGGCTTTGGAGCTATGCAGGAATTAGGACCCTTTCGAGTAAGAAGCGATGGAAAAACGCTTTTCAGGAACATATATTCATGGAACAAAGGTTAGAGCTTTATATTCTTATATGTTTCAATTCAATTTTTAATTGGCAAAATTTTTAAAATAGCATATTTAATTTATTTTTTAAATCGGCACCAAAAAAAAGTTTGAGAATCGACAAAATCAACACGTGCAAAGTCGCCGAATGAAAGGCAACTTTACCACGTCAGCGGCACAGTCGCCGATTACGTGGCGACTTGTACAAAAATACATACTTTAAATGAACTCTGCCTCCAATAAGTTTTTGCTTGCACTCTATGTATTTACATACATAACACCAAAATGTTAATTTTTACATTTATACCATCCAAATCTTTCATATCACATCAGAAATTCTACTGTTTTAACTTTTTTAAAAATATGGAATGCAAATTTAAATGCAAAGGTGAAATGACATGTCTGTAAAAAGCACCATAACAGACAATTTTCATATATTTACATATCTAACATCTAAACTTTCTTCTACTACACAAATTCAATGCTTTCAAGGGAAATTTTGAAGTAAATTCACCATTCCAAAGCATGGTATGCATAAGAGTTTGGTGGTAAGCATATAAATGCCAACTTGTTTACAAAACATCAGATACTGCTATTGTGAAATAATGGTAACTAAAGCACTCCAATACTGCTTATATTTATGATGGTTTTCCACAATCTAACAATTGGAAATGCAAAGAGACTGTTGGTAACATAATTTGTGCAGAATTTAAGCAGTATTTAAAATAAATCCTGCCAAACAACAAAAAAATAACTACCATCAGTCACCAGATATAAAATATTTCTCACTTTAAAATAGTAAATCCGAAAGGAAAGAGCCCAAAAATTTATCATGGTTTAGCACAATTTAACAATTACAATGCCAAAAAGATTGTGGGTAACATAAGCATGATCTAATACGAAACCAAAAGAAAAAAAAAAGAGTAAACATGCTGGGATGAGGATACTACAACACTAGTGCTTGCAATGTTTTCGCTGAGGTATTGCATCTGTTCTGGGGGTGTAATACCGAGGAGCGCAAACTATCCTATCTCTTAAATGGTGTTCACGATCATAGTCCTCCGACTGTTGTGCCTCTGTCATCATACTAGACTATGTCATGAATTATGACTGTTGCTGTGGAGTTGGCAGAGACATCCAAAAATGCACAAAAAATGGTGCTCTATATGGGGTGGTGGATCCAGAATGGGGGTGTGATATGATGATATAGTGGTGTAAATGACACAAACTGATGCGACAAGCGTCAAAGGTGTGTTGTTGAATGCATGCTCACCATACGGTCCACTTAGATTGTGGATGGTAGATGAACTTGGATCTACAAGAGCAGATGGAGCAACACTTACAACTGCTAGCGGGTATAATGTGTTTGAGGTGGGTGGGTGCTCCGAAACATTGCCTAAATCATAACAATCATCTATAATATGCATGCTTCTGCTGCTCCGAGACATCTACAATTAGAGGCTAACATGGGTTGCCATCGCATCTCCCAAATACAGGCTGAAGCAACTCCTTTGTCTTCAAGAAGTGATATCGCTGCATTAAATTTCAAAACATTGCATATCTGTCATATCTTAGAAAACTTATAACAACATTAAATTAAATACCAAAACTCTCTTCCCAGTTGCCTTTGGATGATATGATTTTGGAGATTCAAATGGAGCTTGTAGCAAGTATAAGGAAGCCTAGGATCTGTACCAACGCATGTACTCTCTACGTGCATGATCCTCGTCGATATCTGCATTATTACTCTAGACAATTAAGGCACATATGTTTTCCCATATCTGTATATAATGCTGACGTTATACAACCCAATCCATATCTGCCTTCCATCTACCATCCCAGTGTGAATCCGACCTTCATTGGCTCTATCTGAATGCCCTTCACACTCCCAAATTGTCTCATGACTTGATCGGGTAAATTCCACTCAACTATCATCCAAGAGATTAATGGAACACAGGCATGTCATATGTCTTGCCCCGTTGTGCATATATCATCCACACATGCTAATATCTTTACCGAACCACAATATAATAAATGAAACATTACATTTGCATTACTCAATTGCACGAACCTGACTTTCAAGCAACCTGTTAATTTTATCCCGATAAGCTCATACAATCGACGTAGGAATTTCCTGAATATGTAGCTCATTCCATCTAAAATTTGATATGTGTTTAGCTTAAAAAACATTATTTTTAATTAAAAAGTAATCAATAAGTACCTGAATCCCTTTTTTTTTTGTCCAAGGTTTGAGGATATGCCACATAAAGTGTCAGTCAGCCTACATGCAAATATTCCCAACTCCAAAACTATAGTAGATACAGACACCCAGCCATATTAACCCGTTTGGGTTTCATTGAGAGTTTCACTTCACAATAGAGATGGGCAGTACTGCACTAATCAGTGAGTACTTTCCAAATTCTTCTAAATTTTCCATTGTTGGCAAATATTACAGATGAATCTTGCAACCATAGATATCGAGCAGTAAAAGACATCCTAATATGAACAATGCATATGCAAGAATATGCCTTTATAAGGCAATATCATCTAAATCCATATAAGATTCATCAATGAATTTCCACCTCAATCATCTGAGAGACAAGTATGTCGCTTCGTCCAACCCATCTGAAATGTCGTGGATCACCTCATTCGTTGGGCCATGACAGACAACATCTTCCATCGAATGTGCACCAAAAAGTTCGTCAGAACAATTAGGCCATGACACCCATCTATCACCCACCCGAACTATATTCTGCCCGATCATTAGAGGTCCATCAATGTGGTGGCCAAGCAATACAACGACATCCTGTAGGGTGATGGTCATCACGCCCACGGGAAGATGAAATGTATTTGTTTTAGGCAACCATATCTCCACAAGGGTAGTTAGCAATGATGATCCAACTTTATGTAATGAAGATGCCTAATATAGTCTAAACCCATTTGTCGCTGCCTCTTTATGAATCGAGAACATGTCATCGACCACTCCTTAGTCATCAACAAATGTGAAGATACTTATAAAATCGTACCCTATGAGTATGGGTATTAATAAATATCAGGATTAAGAAAATATTTGCATGACTTTATGATTTAAATGCTGATAGGAGTGTATCGCATCAGGGTGTCTACTCGATGTGATTCACAAAATGAAGAGATGCTTGAATGGAAAACATCGGGTGGGAGGCGGAGGCCAAACAATCAACGGCACGTGCACTGCGGCGATGTCCTTGTCGCTCCTCCATGATAAATGTGTGCAAAATATAAGTAAGCACTTAAAAAGGATGTCGTTGCATACTCATTGTGTTCATAAAGAACATTTTAAAAATTAATCTTAAAAAAGAAAATAATTTTAACAACTAGTTGCAACAGCAAGAGTTATCCATGAAATATAAAATATAACCATCAAATATAAGCCATAGTAGCGTTGCCATGAAATATAAAATAAAAGATGAAGCTTGCTAGTAAGTATTTCTCTAAAATTGTGGTACAACAAATTATAGAATGTATTTTAAAGACTACAACATCATCAAATTTTAATTAATTTTCACAGAATGTCTGGTCTATCGTTCGTGATGTGGTCACTCTACTCGCCAGTCATTGTATGTGCACAAGCAATAATTGTCATTACACAAATAAATTAATTCATTAATTTATGTAAAATTTATTGGAAAAATTCAATGAAATTATACCTGTTATTCCTACGGTTCAATGGACATGTAAACTTATTGTGTCCTGCTGTCCTGCACATAATGCAAATTCTATTTTTATGTGTTCTACTCTCATCCATAATATCTATGTAACGCCTACTCCGTGGACGGTCGGATCTTCTTCTTAAAATTGGAGGGAGCTACTCGATAATACATTTTGCGTCATCAAAGTCTGACCACTTAGTTTTCTACGGGATTACATGAAACTTAGCAGCATATGTTTCCTTATAATTTCAAACTAAATAGTATTGTGACACAAATGTGTTGTTAGTGATGACCAAGTGTCGCAATAACGTGTGAACATAGAATATGAAATATATGTGGTCTTCCACAAGAACATTTAACTGTCTAAACGTCACCAATCTGAACTTTATATGCGTGACATGAAATATTGTAAACCTCAAACTCATGCATGTTAATGTGAATTGGTATTGGCAACCTCCTAGCCTCGAACTAATATCTTCATAGAGTAGTGGCTATCTTTGGTAAGAATGTGGATTCATTCCTTTCTTCCAAGTCAATTGAGATTGAATGCCTCTTCAAAAATAAGTTTACCAGATTGTAATAAATTGAATATATTAGTGTTTGTATATGTATCCCCCTTGCGCGCTTGAGAATGTCATTAAAACACTCTGAAGCATTTGTTGCCATGGTCCCATATTTAAATTCGTCATCATGGAATAAGCTCCACTTTGTCGGATCCTACTGCACGAGCCAATCCATTGATTCTGCTTTAATGTTTTTGATATCTAACATGTAACGATTTAAAACATTGATATCATCAGTACTACCCTTCAAATACATCTTTCGACAAACTGTCTCTACATCTGGAACACTCATGTTGCGAAGTGTTTTCTTGAAAATTTTGCACAAATGCCAACGGCAATGTCTGTGTGTTGCCCAAGGAAAAATTTTAGGGCAAGCCCTAACAATTCCAGAGTGGCGATCAAAGATGATACACAAGTCTTACATTGAAGAAATTGAAAGGATCATTTCATATAGGGTTTGCATAAACCACCACCTTGACTCATTACATTCTGACTCAACAACGGCAAATACTAGCGAAAATATGTCGTTGTTAGCATCAATAGCAATAATGATCAGTAATTTACCTCTATATTTTCCCAATAAAAAGGTCTCAACCACACTAAGAAACCAGACAACAGTGAACCCATCCAAAAATACAAGGACCGAAAGCCCAGAAAAGTCGTAGAAATATGTTAGACGATGCGGTCTGTATTCTATAAATTTAATCTGGCATTGCAAAAAAGATCACAACCATAAAACAACGGCTTCCAAAAAT